CTGTCTTTTATCTGGAGGAGGAGAAGGATGCCAGAGTTTGTCCTCAGTGAAAAATTTGAGGCACTTAGAAGAATTCCAAAAGATATTCAGGAAGACTAAGGACATTTATCTGAAAGTTAATGCATCTCTAGTCCATCATGAAAAGGAAGACATCATACTGGTAGGAAGTGATAGGAAAGAGAACTAAGAGAAAACATTGAGAAAAGAGCACATACGAGAAATCAAATATGATTTTTATTCATTCTCCCATCAACTTTAAATTTGTGGGAACTAATTTGTTTTCTTGCAAGACCACTGAGAACTGCCACACGGTGCAATACAGTGGCTCAGACAGACAGACAGGCACGAAGAATTAAGCAACAGGGTGCCTTGACTAAATACTCATCGCAGCCGTACGTGATCAGTACCAGAACTAGAACGATGAGTCCTTTGACATAAAAGTCAACTCCTGGTTTCATTGCACACGTTCATTTTCATCTAGTCAGCCTGGGAAGGAGGGGAGCAGCCATCTCCCCCTCAAAATATTTTTTTTGCAGCAACGTAACTTGGAGGCAGGGAAGGTTTTCACGTTGTTCCATTGCTGCACGTTTGTTACTAAGGATATTGTGGGCAAAATGCTGTTGGCACAGTTATTCAAACTGTTGAGACAGAGTCTTCTGGAGAAGCCTTTGGGAGCCTTGTGGGGGCAGGGGGGGGATGAGCATTTAATATTAAAAATCACTGCCAGATTATTTGGGATGGAGGCTTTCCCCAGGGTAAAAAGGAGCCCAGGGAAACCCCAGAAGCTGAAAGGAGGCAAAAGAAAGCTGCAACTATTTTAAATTATTTCTGGTGCCCAAATCTGCTTTTCAGGGGCATACAGTACCTGCACCCATAGGATTTTGTCCCATGACTGTTGGTAAATTCAGTTGACATAGCCAATGGTCAGGGATTTAAAGAGATGAAGTGCAACTATATCTAGGGATCTAACTTTGTGAGCCATGCATTCTTGGGGAGTCTTTTGGGCCACCCTCTTTTCCTGTGATTCGTCAGCAGGCCAGAAACAGGGCCTCTGAGGGAAATCCTGAAGAACCAAAGCAAGGTTTATGTCGTTGACAAAACTGCAGCCCATGGGCTGGTTTTTCAGGATAAATGGCCACTCCTTGAAAAAGCAATTGAGCGGCAAGAAGCGTTCAGGTTGCCAATGTTATGTGACAATTTGTGACCTCCAAAATGGCCCAGCAGGGGAAATTTCCTTGACAACCCAAGCTTAAAATGGCTGACACATGAGGGTAATCACACCATCCAGTCACTATCCGGACACATACTGGCGATGTGGTTTGCCGGTCCACATGACGTGAAGTAGAACAAAGAGCTTCTCTCTCAATCGAGTTCATCTGGTGTTGATTTGTCTTTATGAAAGTATAAAAGCAGCATCCTTCCCCAAGATGCTAGTGATTGCTTCAAAAGAAATGGACGCTATTCACTCAGGAGTCCACCCCCCTAGAAATCTCTGGCCTTCCTTTGATTCCAGAAAGGCCTGGAAGTCAGAAACCTTCTTTTTCAATATATATATATATATATATTTGTTTGAGCTTCTGGGGCTGCACAAATAAATTGGTACTGTAGCTCTAAAAATAACTGCAACCGATAGTGCCACCATTTATATCCATAGCAACACAGTCCAAAGACTTTAGCTGCCTGTCGTCTGTCTCACACTCGGCACCAAATGGTAAGCGAGGAGATTGACAGCCTTCACTAGCCAGCGCTGCCGACTGGGGAATGACGCTCCAATCTTGGATTTCAGAGAGGGGGGGAAACGCTGTGGCCTCCCTCACGCATATTTCTGGGCTGTTCATTTTCTTAAGAATGGTTCTTTTGTACTATCCTGTTATCGTGATGATGAGCTTCAGATGCTAAACTCCGGGAGTGATATAATCATCCCAGAGATATTCATTTTAGTGCTATTTAAAATCTGCTTACTGAAAGAGAAGCGATGGGATCGATCCCTTCACTTTGAATTAGGAATTCAGTATTTTCTATACAACTTAAGCAGCTACCTTCCATTTGGATGTATGGGCAGAATCCACCGCAGGCCATATTCACATGATCATGTATAAAAGGGGCGGGAGTTAGGTAAGTGCCCCTCATTTTGCTAGAGGCGTCTTCCACACACCCTTTCTCGCATTTCATCCCTTTTTGCATGTCAAAAGTGTCTGGATTTACCAAGATGGGTATCCAAATTGCACTTTCAAAAGCAGCAACAGCAGGATAACCAACTCTCATTTAACATTGAACGATACAACAACAGAAGAATCAGAGGGTGGACTGAATTTAAGGTCTGCTATTCCAGGGTAATAAAAGTAGGAACACAGGGTCTCGGTTACTATCTTTAGATGTCAATGGAGTTTGGTGGAGATAGTTGGAAACAGGAAATCACTGGCACCCTGGGGGAAAAAATCAGAGTTCAGATTCCTGAGATCCCCTCCTTTCCAACACCCTCTGCTGATAAACATAGCATATTAGAGAGGAAATGCAAGTAGATAAATAGGTACCACTTCCAACATCCTCTGCTGATAAACATAGCATATTAGACAGAGAGGAAATGCAAGTAGATAAATAGGTACCACCCCGGTGGGAAGGTAAACAGCATTCCGTGTCTAGTCATGCTGGCCGCGTGACCATGGGGGATTGTCTTCGGACAAAACGCTGGCTCTGTGGGTTGGAAACGGAGATGAGCACTGCCGTCTAGAGTTGGACACGACTGGACAAAATGTCAAGGGGAACCTTTACCTTTTTTCACCTTTTTAGAACTCCCCACCACAATGGTGGGGAATCTTCCCTGGTGCTGAACATTAAATACCAATTTTGGAAGGGTATTTGCACTCCAGCAACAATCAGGGGCCAAGGGGGCAAAGCGAACGGCAGAATGGATGGAGCCAAAACGCACAAGTCAGTTCCGTGCAAGAGCTTCTGAAATGCACAATTGGATTCCACGCAGGACTGGCAAGGTGCCTGCCAGTTGCACAGTTTAGTTCTCTGCAGGGTTATTTCGGGGTCAAGTAGCTTCAAACAGTCTGATCCTTGATGGCTAAAAAAAAGCGGCAAGTGAGATGGAGAACCTCTGAAGCCCATATCTGCCCTGTGGGTTGGGGGATTCCCATCCTTGCCATAGGGAAAAGGAGATGTTCCATCCCATGCATCTGGCATCTTCCTTTAAAGCAGGGAAAGGGGAACTGACGGTCTTCTAGATGCTGTTGAGCTGCAGCATCCCTCACTCTTGTCTACAGGCAAATTTCTCTCTCTTGATTATACAGGGCAACTGAGGGGCCAGTCTAAACGTTCTTGGTTCATTGCCAGTACTCAGCCCTCGGGTCTGTGAGGGAGTAAGAAGACCATTTCTAATCACAGGACCAGCCCTGCCGTTTGACAAAGCAAACTACACGCCGTCGCCCCAGGCTGCAAGTTTTAAAGTGTCACAAAAGGGCATCAGTTTAGTAGCCATTTATCACTGTTGTCTATTTACCACTGAGGTGGAGAGAGACACTTGTGAGGATTTTCTGCCTCACATGCCAGAATAAATTGGCTTGCTCCGAGTATCATGCACCTTGACTTGAGAAGCGAGGATGCATTTGCTGTTCTACGTGAAAGACAAAATATCTTAGGCCTCTCCTCTCTTGCTCGTGTCCTTAATTCTACCATTGCATGTGACCCATCACTCACTCACTCGCTTCCCCCCCTTCCATCCTTGTTTATAGCCAAAGGTCCTTCTTATGAATGAAACAGCATTTTTTTTACCTCAGCAACTCTCCATCGGATCCCTCCTTGCAGGAAAAGCTGGTAACCTACAGCAGAATTTTTAGCCTTTATTGTCCTGCAGGGGATCCATGGAAGAATCAGCTTGCCTTGTACAGGCCTGCCCTCTGCTGACTACCTAAGGATTCCATGAGAGAGAGATTTTGGGCTTTGGAAGATGGGAAGATTAGTATATGTTCATTTTACCTGAGACCGAAGCACAAAGCAGGGCAAAAGGAAGGGAGGGAGGGATGGATGGAAAGAAAGAAAGAAAGAAAGAGAGAGAGAGAGAGAGAGAGAGAGAGAGAGAGAGAGAGAGAGAGAGAGAGAGAGAGAGAGAGAGAGAGAGAGAGAGAGAGAGAGAGAGAGAGAGAGAGAGAGAGAGAGAGAGAGAGAGAGAGAGAGAGAGAGAGAGAGAGAGAGAGAGAGAGAGAGAGAGAGAGAGAGAGAGAGAGAGAGAGAGAGAGAGAGAGAGAGAGAGAGAGAGAGAGAGAGAGAGAGAGAGAGAGAGAGAGAGAGAGAGAGAGAGAGAAAGAAAGAAAGAATCACAGGTGGCTCATGACCAGTGGGACACTACCATCATCCCACCTGCCTTGGCTTAAGGGCCCACCTTGCTTTTAATAATGGCCAGGCTTCTCTTCATGAAGCTGTCACCTTTATCTGTTATTTACCATTTTTAACATGATACTTGTTGATTCTTTTAAAATATTTGTACACTTACTCTTTTTAGCTCTGTATATTGCCTTTTTAATGACGTGACCTTGGGACCTTTTGAGGAGAAGGGCAGGGCAAAAACATTTCGAATAGAATGAATGAATGAATGAATGAATGAATGAATGGATGGATGGATGGATGGATGGATGGATGGATGGATGGATACATACATACATACATACATACATACATACATACATACATACATACATACATACATACATACATACATACATACATACATACATACATACATACATACATCTAGCACATGGAGGGCCAATCCCGGATTCTCATTAACTTTTTCCACAGCAGAAAACGGTAAACATAAAAACCCAGAAATTCCTGGGGTGTTCTGTTCTCATCAACTATTTAACCCTCATTTCAGTCACACTACATTGGCTCAGTAGAGAATAGAGGAATTCATTCGAAATAATGGAAGGTTTTTTAAAAAATGAGAAAAAAACCCACCACCTCTCCTCTGCTTTTTTTCCTTCCCGTATGTCTCCCAGGGCCACCTATCATCTCCAGCACACAGACGCAGCATGCGCTTCATGGAGAGAAGGGCCAGATCAAATGTTTCATCCGTAGCACCCCTCCGCCAGACCGAATTGTGAGTAGATGCTTTCTTTCTTTGTCAAAGCACGGGGGTGGGGGTGGGGGGAATTATTAATGCATTTATATCCTGACTCTTTGGTTAAAAAAAGCAGAGTAGCTTAGATAACATTATATTAAAATAACATCAGAAAAAAACCCAAATATAAATGGGAACAAAAGCTATACGAGCCAATAACATAGCACAAAGCCAATGCAAATTCATGGTTTAAACGGCCTTTTCTAAAAGCAGTGGTCAACCAGACCAGATGGGCGGGATATAAATCAAATAAATAAATAAATAAATAAAAGCAAAGTGGGGTAAGAAAAAACTATTTGCTTGGCACGAAAAGGATAACCCACTTTTCTTCCCACGACTTGTGAATTTTTTTTTAACTCCAACTCCCCAAATTCCCCAGATATTGGGATCTGCAATCCAGTTCTCTTATCCAATTTCTGGTTTCTCTTGTCGAGGCGGTCTCGCCATGCGTCACTTGGCCTAGCCTATTCAATTGGGGTGGGGGGGAGACCAGAAAGGAGTCTCTGAAGAGATGAGTTTTCTCTTGGTAGAATATTAAACGCATTCACATCAGCCTGCTTGTTCACTGAAGTCCACTAATTGTACACAGGGAACAATAAGCCTTGGAAAAATTGCATTTAGCATATCACATTTCTGCGTGTCTGATGCAGGAGAACCAATAACATGTTTCAAGGCACCTTTAAAGATTGAAAGGTTTTGCTTGGCATAAATTTTCAGGGACTGACGCACTCTTCTTCAGATGGCTGGCACAAAGCCTCGGTAAATAGTCCCTTATACATACTCAGGGAGTAGGGAGAACTGTGAAATGTAATAGGAAAGCCATGCTTGGATATGCTGTGGGTGTACATTAATGCTGTGTTGGATGTGTTTGTCACCCACTCATGACCTTTGAACAGCTCTAAACAATCACCATTAAGATCTCTGCGTAATCATCTGTCAGGAGCAATCTTCAGCGATCACCGGTAGGATTATCGCCAATGCTGTTTTGCTCTTCTCATACATTTCACATTCCTCTCCTCCCCAACTGTGTGTAAATATCTGTCTACTGAAGCTGCGGCCCATGAAAACCAATGGGAAGTAGAACTCATCTTTCCATATTTTGCCACCAGCATTTTTGTTGATTTTGCTGCAACAGACTACAGAGTAACATGACCCTGGAAGTACGTATCTGATGTCATTCCTAAATTCAAATTGAAAACTGGAAAATGAAGTTTTAGTAGACAGGGAAGAAACCGATACAGCCATGTCACTAATTTATTTATTTATTAGATTTCTATCACACTCTTTTAGACAAAGTCTACTCCGGGCGGGTTCCATCAAACATTATAAACAGTTTAAAAACAATTAATTACAAATTACTTCCATGAACAGGCCTGGTCGTGGAAGGAAAACGTCCTGGAGTCAGGAACCTCAGGGCGATACACGGTTGAAACGGTCAGCACAGACGAAGGCGTGATCTCCACGTTGACGATCAGCAACATCGTCCGAGCCGATTTCCAGACCATTTATAACTGCACTGCCTGGAACAGTTTTGGTTCAGACACTGAGATCATCCGTCTGAAAGAACAAGGTGGGGATTGCTATTGTGGCATTTCAAAAAAACAAAGAAGGACTTTTGGTATGGGGTGGAGTGTGGGGAAGAGACACAAGCTCATTGGGAGTAGAACGGAGAAGAAGATTGTGACATAGAGAGAAGAAACCAAATGCATAAAGGGGAAATAGGGTCTAAGGCCAGTGTAACTGGGAGCTGGAACTCTTAGAACTGTCGAGCTGGAAGGGATCCTCACATGGGATTACGAGCTTCAGAGAGGTGCAGGGAGATGGTAGTGTTCATACGTGGGATTACAAGCTTCAGACATTACTAGAGAGGTGCAGGGAGATGGTAGTGTTCATGCTGCTTAGATGCCATCAGGAAGAAAAGGCACAGGACATTAGGAAGGCTCCAGTTACCCACATGGACTGGCCAAGCAGCAAAATACTTGGCTGAAGAGAAATGAAATCCAAAGCTTTCTGTGACACCGACACCATTTCATGATGATGCAAAATGTAAGTGGTGCTACCAGTTCTTGCATATCCGGTTCAAGGCCTATTGCTGTGACTGCTGATTCATCCCATCCCAGAACAAAGGTGCTGGTCTTTGAAATTATTTAATTAAAAAACCCTGCAGCAAAGCACCCCTAAATTCTGTTGTTCATGCTTAGATACTGCTTAAGGACAGGTGTTGCTTTTTTTCCCCCCTTTCCTTTTCCTCCATAATAGCTGCCCTGCCCTTCCTTTGATTCAGAAGAAAACTACCTGGGTTTTAGAACAGCTGATGGACACACTTGCATACGTTGTATGGGTACAGTCTGTTCTGCTTTGTGGCAGGGCAACTAATTCAAACTTGTCAGAGTATTTCTATTACAAAAACTGGAGGCTGCACTGGGAGGTTTCCTAGCGAGACCTCCAATCAAAATTTAGAATGATTGGGAATAAATGAAGGCTATCATGCTCTCTCTTTTCTGTTTCCCTTCCTCCCTTCCTCCTCTCTTGTTTAGCATAACTGAGCATTTCTTCAGACAAGTCTAGAATTTCAGATCAGAAGTCTGATCATGGCTTGCAATTAGGGATGTAAAGTATGCTCACCAGATTCCTTGTGCTTAATAATTTGGAAGACATCTTGATGAGGAATTCACTGGCCCCTCAAAACTTCTCATCTCCAGTGTGAGAGTGAGACAACAAAGTTTTTTTTTTCTCTCTCTCTCCTCAGGGTTTCTGCAATTTGTGGCAAATTTATCTGGACAAGTTTAGTGTCGTTTTGCTTTGTAAAACTAAGTATAGAGCGGGAGAGATTGCACGCAAATTCAGAAGGACTGGCTGACTGAATAAAGCCACATTTTAAAGTAACCATTCAATAGGTCTAATTTTTAAAAGTCCATGCAACAACAAGGCAGCAGCTGGCTGTTCTCACATTTTACCAAATTTGCAGTTGTTTGGGCAAAAATCTTTCTTACGAATAACCAAACTCTAGCCAAGACTGACAGAAAACATCTCACCCCCTCACAGAATAGGAGAAAAAATGTTACAGTGTGAGAATGAGCGAGATTTACACCCCTGTTTGTCATACTGGTTTGGAGGGACTGCTCGAGTCACAACTTGCTGACAAAAGACAGCATGATGAAGATTGGTATGAGGGAATGTGGAAGGGTAGTGGAGGCAGAAAAGGAGCACTGAAGCCTTATCTTTTATTCCCAGTCCTCTTGACAATAGCCCAGAGGGTATTTGAAACTCGGGTTTGGCTGTGGTTGTGGTCAAAGGAAGGGCAGAAATGAAAAACACTCTGCAACAACTGTCAGCAAAGCTACTTCCTTATATGCCAGCTTCTGCCACATCAGTGCCCTTCAGATGCCTTGCCTGAAGGCTTGTATCATCTCCAGAATTCCCAACTGCATTGCAACACATCTACTGTAGAAGGCACCAACTTGGGGCAAGAATGTCACATACACGCCTACTGTTGTCCAGTGAAGTATTTCTCTCTTTCTGGGGCCTTTTCTCTCCCTTCATGAATAGCCTCAGGAAGAAAAAGGAAAGCTGCTCCTACGTCAGCCCTGATTCTGGCTGGATGTAAAGATTTCTTTAGATCTAACCCCACCCAACCTAATGTCTCATGCCACACCAACAAACCTTGCATTAATTCATCTGTCCTTCAATGCATTACATAATTTGCACATAGTTCCAGTCCAAACTTAACAACTTGTTACCAGTTACTGGGACAGGCCACATGCTATGGTGATAGAGCAGCAATTTTTTTTAAAAAAAGTATTAGGTGGGAGAGACAATTTCAGCAGAAACAGAATGGGGAATAGTATCTCCAGGATGACCCAAGCTGCTGCCATTGCACCCCATTGTTTTATGCCAGTGGTTCTTAACCTTGGGTTATTCAGGTGTTTTTGGAGTGCAACTCCCAGAAGCCTTCCCCACCAGCCATGCTGGCTGGGACTTCTGGGAGTTGCAGTTCAAAAACACCTGAGTAACCCAAGGTTAAGAACCACTGTTTTATGCCATTATTAGCCTCTAAAAGAAATGGAATGCAACTCTTTGCAGGATGGGCCAGCATGACAACTGGGAGTGTCAAGCCAAATTCCTCAATAGAAAATTCTCATTAACCAGTGGAGAGATAAATCAAGAGTCCCGGAAACAGGTTCAGCCTCAGATGGGCTAAGAATGGATGAAAACAGGAGAAGCTAGCTAGAGTTCAAGATTAATTTGGGGGTTATCGTGTGGACTGGACTGAACGCTCTCAAGGCTTGCTTCTTGGTTTGGAAATACTTATTCAGGGAAACACCCTCCCACACTCTTTCTCATGACTGTTCACTACTGTTCACAGTCATTCCTTACACTTTGCTGCTGCTTTGATGGCCATTCTCCCCTCTGTCATTTCATCCCTTCTGTAGTGATCCCAACCAGTAAGCGGTCTAGTGATCCCGCCGTCAATTAGATTTTCCTGTTGGCTAACGCCACCGAGATTAAACAGAGCCTTATATAAGTAAGAGTAATGCTTCCATGTCATAGACCATCATCAGATGAAAACAGACTTTTTGAAACAATCACTAATGGCTGAAAGAGGATGGATATAACAAAAAACAAATGGATGTTGAGGCTGGGTGAGTCTCAGAGGAAAGGACCAGATTGTTTCTGGACAAGCTCCAATTCCATCCTTTCCCATTAAATGGGAGGGCAGGCAGGTGGATTGTTCTCATTAAGCTCTGATTTATAGACAAGGCTGCCATCCAGATTAAACTGGAACTAAATTAACTTCTCAAAATTAGCCTTGGGTTCTGTCCAGTATAAATAGACTTGGTGGCGGCTTGTTTTCCGGTCTCTTGCCTAAGTAGAGAGACATGGTTGGCTTAGCAGATGTTTCTAAGGTGCTGAGGAATTCCCAAGGAGAAGCTCTGGAAAGTGTGCTTGCTTGATGAAAATGCCGAAAGCATAAATACAAACCATCTTGAGTTGGGCTGTTAGTTCTGGGCACTTCATGGAGGAAACAAACGACTCCTGACTGGAGCATTTAATACAGAGAGCACTTTGTTGGAAACTGAAATCATTTTAGAGTATTAATGGCATAACAATCTCTGAGCTTCATGCTTGAGCAATCAGGCTTCCAAATATTGCCTGTGTTTACCTCCTGATGACCAATCACAAAAAGTTAGCCAATGTACAAGCTACAGGAGGTAGGAAAAACCCATGTTAAGCAGACATCCTTCAACGCTTAAGGAATTCCCATTCCTAACTAAATATTCCTAGTATCATTCATACAGTTTGACCCTGCAGCTGTAGAAGGTAGACAGCCCTACTGGAGAAGAGGATTTGGGTCCTGAAATGAAAACCTGCAGCTGCCATAGAACTGCCATTTAAGATCATATACTCAGTTTTAATGGCTGCATCTATAATAAACTATAAGAAATTTCTAACAAGTAACACTATAGCAGTTAATTCCACCATACCATGCTGAATGTCCAGGGCTGTTCTTTTTCAGAGTCCAGGTGATATGCTGCAGATTTGAATGCTACATAGGTGGTAAACTAGTACAACATGGAGAAAACTAGACTAATTTTTACTGGTCATGCTCTCCTTCCATAGGTAGACTGTTTATTTTAACTATGGGGAACTTTCATACCTGCACCCATCTCACTTCGAATCTCCATGTCTGAATGTTATGCATTTGAACCTGCAGGTGGAAAATCAGTACATCAGAGGAAGGGCGAGAGTAAAACTTTCCCCATCTAAGAAGCCAGTCTTCCACAGACAGGGAGCTGTTTATTTGGAGGTCATTTAAATATGCAGCCCCCTCACTTCGAATCTGAAGAGCTACAGTCCTTAGGAATGATGTGCTATCTTGTTCCTCAAGCGATTTTCACCAATGCGTACTTTTGAAACCCTATTGGTTGGAAACACTCAGAAGGGCCTTACCTGATTTTCTGTGGTCACATTGCAATGGAGTAAGCTAACGCTCGCAACAAAAATAGGAGGTAGTTCCCAGCAGTTATTCTGGGCAATGGTGGGTGAGAACTCCCAAAAGTCCTTTTTAAAATATATATATTTTTTAATTTTATCTTATTTTATTAATGAGGAAAGTGGCAAAAAGTTGGCAAGGCTGTAGACGCTTGCTTTATTTTCAAACAGGTACGGAAATGAAATCAGGAGCTGGTATGGAAGCAGGTATGGCATCCTGAGGAAAGGTGACTATATGAATGCCCCCCCTCCAGCAAACGAATCCCAGTTGAATTGTTAAAATAAGCCCATTTAGGTTAGACCTTCCCAGAGATGGGAAGATTGTGGGAGAACAAAGGAAACATGGTTTGACTGGCAAATCCATCTTGGCGTGTAGAACCCTTCTTATTGCTGGCTATTTGGGTGTCTACCTATGGAACGTTTTCCTAATGCATTCTCCCATTCTTTTGCATGGGATTGTGCTAACACAGTTGTTGCTCAGATGGAAAATTATGCAGCAGTTAAAAAAAAAAGACCAAGATCTGGAAAATTCCCATATACTTGCTGATGTATCTGATGTATTTCTTTAGTCATGACCCTGGATCATTGGATGCCGCTACCTAATCTTGGTACGTGGTGGCGCTGTGGGTTAAACCGCTGAAGCCTCTGTGCTGCAAGGTCAGAAGACATGCAGTCATAAGATTGTATCCACGCGACGGAGTGAGCCCCCGTCGCTTGTCTCAGCTCCTGCCAACCTAGCAGTTCGAAAGCATGCAAAAATGCGAGTAGATAAATAGGTACCACCTCGGTGGGAAGGTAAACGGCATTCCGTGTCTAGTCACACTGGCCACTTGACCATGGAGGATTGTCTGCAGACAAACCGCTCTCTCTATGGGTTGGAAACGGAGATGAGCACCGCCGCCTAGAGTCGGACACGACTGGACAAAATTGTCAAGGGGAACCTTTACCTTTACCTAATCTTAAATTTAAGGGAGAACCTATTCAGCCATACTTTGACTGGGTGTGTTCCCCTGGAAAAATTGAACTGGCGAAGCTGTTTAGTCAGATCCATTGCAAGGTTTATTTCGCTAACTTGAGTTGACCATTGCCCCCAACATCAGCATTTGCAGCTATATTTCCATCTCACTGAACCTCCCATCATGTAAGCAACTCCCGGCAGACACTGTCTGTACCCCACCAATCATATCCTCTTCTTGTGCCGGTTCCCATTTGTCACCTGGAAACCCATCCTACCTCATCCACTATTTCTCACTTACCTCTGGATCTCTCTGTGTAAGAGCTAGCAGTACATTGTTGACCAAGCTGTCTCTTTCCCACTTAACATGCTTTCCTTAGTTATTTCAAACCGGGGCCAAGAGCCTTTTTATTTCTATTCAGTGCCATATCCCACTGAAATAGATCTGTAGGGCATTTATTTATTCATTCATTTAAAATATCTTAGGGCCAAGAGCCTTTTTATTTGTATTCAGTGCCATATCCCACTGAAATTGATCTGTAGGGCATTTATTTATTTATTCATTCATTTAAAATATCTTTACCCTGCCTTTCTCCTTTAAAAGGACCCAAGGTGGATTACACCATCAAGAAGACAATATTTAAAAACTAAAAACAATAAGTATGCAACTTTTAAAAAAGAATTAAACAAATATTATATTAAAAAACAGTAAATAAAATCAATACTAACAACACATTTAAAAGCAACAAGGCACAACAATCCTTTAAAAAAAAAGATACTGTTCCAGACAGCCAGTCACTAAGGAAAAGCTTACCTGAAGAGAAAGGTCTTTGCCTCCTTAAGGAAGGTCAGCAAAGATGGAGTCAGTCTGGCCTCCTGTGGAAGGGAGTTCCAGAGTCTGAGCAGCGACAGAGAAGGCCCTCTCCCTCATTAAGGTGGTGGGGTTGAGAGAAAAGCCTCCCCTGATTATCTTAAAACCTGTACAGGCTCATCAACAGTTATGGGGTGTATGGCCAAAAACATACCTCTTTCACCCAACTGACTTCAAGGATGGGAATATTTTGACCATCCAGTGTTTTGAACTGCAAGAATCACAATCTTTTACCACTAGAAGCCTCTGTGCTGCAGGGTCAGAAGACCAGCAGTTGTAAGATCGAATCCATGCGACGGAGTGAGCTCCCATCACTTGTCCCAGCTTCTTACCAACCTAGCAGTTCGAAAGCATGTAAATGTGAGTAGATAAATAGCTACCACCATGGTGGGAAGGTAACGGCATTCCATGTCTAGTCGTGCTGGCCACCTGACAACAGAAACTGCCTTTGGACAAAACGTTGGCTCTATGGCTTGGAAACGGAGATGAGCACCAGGCCCTAGAGTTGGACATGACTGGACTAAATGTCAAGGGCAACCTTTACCTTTACCTTATGACCAATGGGGCTGATAGGAGTTGTGGGCCATGGCATCTGGGGCTACTTGCTTCTTCCTTCACTCTCTAGACCTAGCACCGTGGCATGGCAGAACAGATCACGTTTGCCGGATCTGAACCGATGGCTTGCAGAAGAGATTCAGAATTCTGCTGTGAGCCACACGAAGCCTGAGAGTGTCAGGTTCCATGGTGCTGCTTTATCACAAAAAGAAATGATTCTTACAGAGACAGTTCAGAGGATGTATCAACATAACATTTGGGTCTGCCTATAGATCGAGGATGCCACGAAATCCTCCTCCATATCCACAACCAGTTCTTAAGTAAGAGTTGAGGCCAGCACTATGAACAGCAAAGTCATTCATACTCATTAAGCATCTACAGGTAATTCTTATTTACAAAAACAATGACAGCATCAATTGACATTGAAAGGGTTTTCCACTCCTAGAAAATTACAGTAATCTATTCTTATGCCAATAGGTAATCTTGGATCCTGAACCTATTTGTCCAGGGGAGGAAGGATTCAGGTGGCCATGTGTTGAGAAGTATGCAATATTTCTCTTCTCACTTAGTCCTGTCAGCCCTACTACCCTGTTTCCCTGAAAATAAGCCCTACCCAAAAATAAGCCCTAGTTAAAAGAAAGCCCATCGTCCACCCTTGTGCAGCAACCAGAAGATGACGTGACCGTATTTGAATAAACGTAGATTGTACATGAAAAAATTAAGCATCCCCTGAAAATAAGCCCTAATGTGTTTTTTGGAGCAAAAATTAATATAAGACCCTGTCTTGTTTAGGGGGAAACAGGGTATATATCTCATGTTTTAAACAAAACAACAAAAAATGATTTGCTGTATCTGATTTTCTTTTTATAAGTAAGTAAGTAAGTAAGTAAGTAAGTAAGTAAGTAAGTAAGTAAGTAAGTAAGTAAGTAAGTAAGAAAGAAAGAAAGAAAGAAAGAAAGAAAGAAAGAAAGAAAGAAAGAAAGAAAGAAAGAATATTCTGAGCATGCACAGTTTTGAATTTTTAAATTTGCTTAAATCATCACTACCATCATGACTATAGAAATGAAAGGAAGTTTCCACCAAGAGTATTGACTTCTTTGTCACTGCCCCCTCACCTGGCAATTTCTGTGTGCTCCTTGTGAGCTTAAGTGATGGTTTGTCAAGCCCTTCTCATGAGGTCCAGCTTTCCCTGCTCTTAATGTCAGTTACCAAAAGCCCATAAGAATAAAAAGCTTTTTGCCTACTGTTATGAGATACAGCTCCCATTGTCCCCAAAAATCATGATTTGAAAATGATGGGGATTGTTGTCCAACATGATGTCGAGCTCATTGATTGGGAACAGCAAACTAAAGGATCCAGTGGCTTAATTTATAGAAGGCCTGTACTTTGAATTAGCATTGGCAACATTGAAGGGTCAGGGATCCAGATTTTTACTTTCAGCACATATGTGGATGGGTGTCTGTACCAGGGCCAGAAATATCAGGCAGTGTCACTCACTCACTCACTCACTCACTCACTCACTCACTCACTCACTCACTCACTCACTCACTCACTCAACCAACCAACCAACCAACCAACCAACCAACCAACCAACCAACCAATCAATCAATCCTGTAAGTTATTATTTGTGGGGCTGGAGGATTGGTGCTATGGAAAACGCCCGATCTTGAAGATCTCTAGCAGCATACACATTTAAAAATATATATCCCCCTTCAAAATAGTCCTTGGAGGGTTGTCACTAGGGAACATAAAGGGTTTTAGAGGGAATGAGAAGAGTGCAAATATGGTGTTTGCTACCACATGCAGTCCACAGGCCACGTTCCGCTCATCCCCCACCTTGAATCCTTTCCCTACCATTTCTAATCAAGCAGCAACAGCCCTGTGGGAGAGCATAGAAATGCCATATGTCAAATCTACCTACCAGCCAATATCGGCATGCAAAAGAGCTGAAACATTTGGGAAGCAAGGATGCTGCCCTCGATATCCTCTGAGTTAGGTATCGGCAGGGTTGGAAGATCAGCCCAAAGCACAGACGTCCAGGAAACACAGAGACCGCAAATGCCTTGTGTACCCACCGCCAGACAATGTGAATCATGCCACAGAAATTGTATAGTTACAATCTCTCAATCATCCCCGTTGGCAGTGTGGGCAGGCAAGGACAAGCCAGATCCAGATGCCATAGACTTGTGCTTCTACTGCCTGTTGAGACTTACACAGCATGGAGCATTTTAATAAGTATGGCTGCTGTCATACTGCTGCAATAACTAACGTGTATTTTCCTCCATTTAAAAGAAAGGGAGAAAGGGGTCTCCTTGTTTCCAAGGGAAAGCAGCCTTCAAATGCAATTAAGTCATGTCAAATTCAAAAACCGAGTGGCAGACTAGAATCCAGAATATAATCTTAAATTATGAGCTGTTACGTTGCAACAAGCAGCAATAGCCAGAGAGAGTTTTAAAAACATAAATGTTTGCTGGAAAAGAAACTTAAGAAAAAATAATGTTTCATAATGAATACTTCTCTTTCCATACACATTCCACATTCAACTGGCACCATTTGCATTGAATTGTGTGTTCTCTTCTTGAACTACCAACTCCTCAATGTCCAGGTAGGCTCCAAAAATCGTAGGTGGGAGCAATGTATTCATTTGTGCATCAGGAATAACAGTAATTCCACACGCACACAAGTGTGCTAAAAATCTAATAAATGGGTATGGACCGTATAGTTGTCAACCTTCACTGGCTATTTCTCCACTCTAAGCTTCTACAGAAAAATGCCATTTCTGAAGCGATCCATCCAGCCACCAAAACTCTGAGCCCAAGTTAGTCA